CTAACTAACTAATTAAAATAAATAAAACAACAACAAAGAATAAGAAGTACGTATATTGTTGTTCTACTACGTATATATATATATATATATATTGTGTGTGTGTGTGTGTGTGTATATGTGTAGTGTAGTGTGTGTGTGTATATATATATATATATATATATATATATATATATATGTATATATAATTGTTAATAGTCACATACACCTGGTCTATCCATTTTACTTTAAAAAATCTAATAGTGTTAGCAACAGACAGAGAATACAGCAAAGAAAGAACTCATTTTTCTTTGTTTTACATCTTATGAATCAGACATTTTTTAAAACATGCCTATATTTTGTCATTTTACTAACTTTTAAAAACATTGTGTATGAGTATAGTATCTTTTGTATAGTATCTGAAAAATAATGCATTTAATGTAGATATTATGATAAATAAATGTTGCAGATTTTAAGTTAATAGAAATTATGCAAACAATTGGATTTTTAGAGCATTTTATCTTATTTTCTAACAGATTGTAATTTTTTTTTTCCATTGCTCACTGTTAATAAAAGTCTTACAATTTTTTTTGCTTCATTTTGTATGTGTTTTATGAGTTAGGGAGGGGGACAAGTAGATATTTCTAGTATTTAATTGCTTCAGCAAAAAGTTTTTACCAAAATTAAGTGCTCTTTATTATAAGTACCCAAATGCTAATTTTTTGTTTCTTTCTCATTCTATATTAATTTTTGGTGGTATTATGTAAACAGATGTATAATGTTTTGTTGTGTTATATGCATATTAGTTAATTTGTTGATTCAGGGACATTATGTCTGTATACAATGAGCCACCACCTGGAATGTTCCTTGTGCCTGATGATAAAGATATGACCAAGGTGTGTTGAATCTTTTTGTATCATATTTATAGTAACAGCTAATTGAGGTAAGATATTAGTAAGTCTGAAGACAAGTGACAATTTACAGGTGTTCATTGTTTAAATACATTATTGTTTGATTAGTCAAATATATTAAGAGAGTAGTTGCAGATTGAAATGTTAAACATATTTACTCGTATTACATTATACATTTCTTATAAATACAGCAACAATGGAAAAGTCTTCATCAATATTTAATTTGTGGGTGTTGGGGAAATGCTATTAAATTGTAGTAATAAATGGAGTTAGATCTGACTGGATCACAGTGACAAGTGGTGTGCCTCAGGGTTTTGTGCTGGGTCCTCTGCTGTTTGTGATTTATATTAATGATATTGACTCTGGAATGACTAACAAAATATTGAAGTTTATGGATGACATTAAGACTTTTGGGGTGGCTAACTGTATCAAAGATGCTGCAGACTTACAGGGAGATTTAGGTCATTTGATGCATTGGGCCAATACGTGGCAGATGATGTTTAACTATCCAAAATGTAAGGTGATGTGTGTAGGTTTTCACAATTCAAATTATTGTTACAATTTAAATGGGAATACATTAAATACTGTGGTTGAAGAAAATAATTTAGTGTTGTTATAGAAAAATCACTTAAGGCATCTAAACAGTGTATTGTAGCTAGTAATAGGGCTAATAGAATTTTGGGTACCATCTATAGAAATATTGAATATAAGACAAGGGATATTATTGTTTCACTCTATAGATCACTTGTAAGGCCTCATTTAGGGTACTGTGTGCAATTT